AGGGGCAAAAGTTTGGGTCTAGAACCCTTGTTGCATGCTTTTGGCCTCAGTCTCCCCATCTGGAACTATCTAGCCTAACTTATCTCTAGGTCATTCCCAGTACTAATGGGTGCTGGCCAGAGGATCTCTGTAAGCTGATGGTGACTACTGAGGGCAGTGGGGGCCCACACTGGCCTATAATAACTGGGGGAGAGGAAGGAGCAGGAAATTGGGGAAATAAGAGGGCCAGGATTAGGCATTCATTTAGGCTCTTTCCCCACCTGGCAAATGGCCCTGGGCAAATTCCCGCTGCCTGAATGGGGCTGGGGACTCTGCCCCTACTCAGGGTTGCTGGGAGGGCCTCTGGCTCTCATGCCAATCATGGGAATGGGACTGCCTCAAATCTTTCCCTCTGTGCTGAGTGTTCTACTTTCTCTATCCCTGCTTCTGCCTAGGCTCCTGCCTTTCACTTCCTCCTGTCCTCTCTCCCAATCCATCCTGAGTAAGTCACTGTCCTGCTCAGAGCCCCATGCTGGCTCTCAGCCCTGCCTAGGTGGAGGCCATCTCCATAGTAGTCAGGCCTGTTGAGGGCTGGCACCTGGCCCTCAGCTACTCTACCTCTAGCCACAACCCACACATCCTGTCTCTTACCAACTGCAGCTTCCTTCTACCCGACATGCCCTTTTCCTACAAATTCAGGGTTCTAATGCTTCTGCCTTCTTAACTGACACCTCTATGGACACGCCCTTTGAACACTGGACCTGCTGTGTTGTCTGGAAATTCTTGGGATCCCTGTGTCAAGGCTGACTTATAGAGCAGGTAAGGATTGCAAACTACTGGTCTTCATCTTCCTCCTCCCACCCTTGGTCCCCTGCCTGGCTCTAAGAAGGAGTCCCTGGAGTGGGAGGGTGGAGCAGGGCAGGACCCTCACAGCCCCTCTCCCATCATGGCTTCCTTTGGGCCTTGGGTTCTGCAGGCGGGCACTAGCTTCTGTTTACACCCTCCTGTAAGCCTCCACAGGGCACCGCTCACCTGTGCCGTCTCTTCCTCCTGGACCCAGAATCAGACCTGTAGAGCCATAAAAGGGTTCTCTTGAGCCCACCTGGGATGACTCAGGGATACCCAAGGAACACAGCCCTGGTCCTGGGCCCCATGGAAGTGCGAGGAGGCCCCAGGAGAGGAAGGGTACCTGTCTTTGCGGTGCTTCTTCACGCTCTTCTTCTTCTTGCGCAGGGGTGAGGAGCTCCCACAGCTGTGGACAAAGGTGTGGGAGGTGGGCTCTAGTGAACTGGGGCCTGGGAGGTGGAGGGGCAGCTGGAAATGGCTAGGGAAGACTGGTGCCTGGGGCATCAAAGCTGGAAAAGGGCATTCCAGGCCATGAAGCCAACTGCCGGTTGTACAGAGTGAACCGAGGCCCAGAGGGTCAGCAGGGTCCCTAAGGCTGCCTGTGTGGCGCTGCCTGTGTTGTCCCTGGTCACTCTTCTAGCCTCCTGGCATTGCAAGAGAGGGCTGTTTCAAACCCAAAGGTTGGAGGCTGTAATGGTGGGATTTCTGGCCTCCGTGGGGATAAGCTGGTGGTGTCCAAGGTCCAGGCCCTGAGGTGCCAGGCCTCCTGCCTCTGGAGGATGGCCCTGGAATCTCACCCTCCCACAGACACCGCCCCCACACACAACCCTTCCTGGTCCTTGCCCACCTTCATCACTGACCTGCACTCGGAGTCTAGTCTCCTCTTTTTGCTGAGGGCCAGGGGAGAAAGAAGGACAGACAGTTGGACCGAGTTAGTTGGGCCCCCAGACATTTGCCAGGGTCTCACTCAGGACAGGGGAGGGGGAACCACAGATGAGACCCTGCCAAACCCCTCCTCCCCAGGCCACTCATACTTGTGGGGGTGAGGGCAAGACTGCTGACGAAGGGCAGAGGGGTGCCCACCAGGTGGACGGAGCAGCTCTGGGGTCTCCGGCGGGTGAGTGCCAAAGTGGGGGACTCAGTGATGGGAGGGGACTTGGTGAAGGGGAGGGGCTCAGTGGGGGGAGGGGCTTGGTGAAAAAAAGGGGGTTGAGTAAGGGGAGGGGTCAGTAAGCAGGAGGGCACTTTGTTGGGGGCAACACAGTGAGGGGGAGGGATTCAAAAAGGGCAGAGGGACTCAGCGAAGGCAGGCTCACACAAGTGCAGCGGTGGGTCCCTGCAAACACCGCGGGAGGGAGGGGGGACCCACTGTGCCC